ATTTTATTGAAGTAAACCAAATAAGAATTCACTGTATTGAAAGACCATGGTGAACCAGTCCTACTGCTGATTTAATTTCTTGAATTTTCTTCTTTAATTAGGATATTCAAGCTGATAACTATTTTTTTCATACTGAAGTCTCTTGAATCAGCTATCTCCCATTAGGACATGGTTTCTGCATTTATTTTCCTGCAGATTTGAACAATATATCATAGCTTTGAGTAGCTAATCATTCATCAGTGAACACTAAAGGGACTTCAGTATCTTCAGCAAATGTCTCTTCTTCATTCTGACTGGGGGAAGAAGTAATTCTGTTGAAATTGTTAGCAAGAGAAATACACATCTACGTCAAATACTATGCCTATACTATGTTGTTATTGATATCAAAGTAAAATAGAAAGTTATGCATCAAATCTATGCAGTTAAAAGAATTTGCCTTGCACTTTTTTTAATCTAAGTCCCACATCTCCAGAATTTGTACATACGTTTTCAATATGCACTTGCAACTTGGACTGATGTGTTGTTCCCAGCTGCATTGTTCATTGCTTAAATGTTGTCCTCCTTCAGGGGTTTACATTCGACTCCAGATTATACAGATTTATTTTTGTCCTGTTCCTTCTTTATCTTGCTTCTAACAACAGCGTTCAAGAAGTCAGTAAATGTTAGAGTGGCTATGAAGTTAAGTATTTATTTAAACATACCTAAACAAGAGGCACTGGTGATGAAAAAAATATATAAATTTCTAAATGGGAATTTGGAACGAATTCCTAATTTTACTCAACTATTAAGATGATTTGTATAAATTTGGAGTCAAAGTAGACAAATAGATTTGCAAGTTTACAGGACCAGTTTATCTGTTCATCTGTTCTTACCAAAGGTTATTGTATTGCTTACCTATATATTAAGTTAAGCAATACCTATATGTTAAGACTTCTGTCTTGCATATGGCTAAAGCAGTATCTTTCAAAAAGCATTGATATGAAGACATCAGCATCTGTAGAATCCAGTTCTTTCATGGTGGTCTGGTAGAGAGACCTCACTGGCAAAAATATATGAGGTGTTTCTAACTTCATTCCATTTTGCTTCTCTCTTCGGTCATTTGCTTTTGTTACACTTTTCTCCACTGAATTAACGAACCCTTTAGTACTCGATATTTTCACCATCCAAGGGTTGTAATTAAGTTGCCTTACAATCTCGTTTGGAAAAATAGATTGGGTGTGACATCAGGTTTGGGAATGATAGAATAAAAAGCTCAAAACACCAATTTTCCAGAATTCCTTTTATTGACTTGATTTGTCAAACTCATCAGGCATGTATTTTCAGGTGAAAGAGCACTGATCTTGCTTTTCACACAAGATGCTGAATACAAGAAATTATAAAGTAGAGGAATGTCAAAGACTTAAGTAACACCAATGACAAAAGAAACATTCCT